ATGTGCCATTTATTGCTTTGATTTCCTTCATCTATTCTCTGTCCCTGTGGGACATATTGGGGTTATGTTTGAATTCTTTTATTGTTCTCCTCTAGTTGATTTCAATTGCTTCATGAGACCCAAGACTCTAGGCCTTTCAGTGATAATGTATCTTTCTGATTATTTAGTATCTTGTGTCTTATATTTCTTAGTTACAGTTACAGTTGAAGATGAAGCAAATTAGTAACATGCAGCTTAATTGACAAACTAAACATGATTTGTCGCCTGTATCTCTTGTCCTTTTTATGTGTTGAGGGTGGAGTTTGGTTTCAAACAGTAACCTCTTGTTGGTTTATAGCTAGCCCTGTTTCAAAACTGATTTTTCTTGTTCTAAGACATTCACGTAATTCCATTTCCTGGAATAATTTCATATGGACATTCAGTGACACAACAAGGCCATGGATAACTTCTGGCTGTATGTCTCGCCTTAGGATTAATTGTTCTCGACTCCCAAGTATTTATATTCCATGTTACATAAACTAGCTCATATGATCGACCAATTGACAATGTGTTACTTGACTTGGGTCATAATCCATCTTAGCTCATATCATCTTTTGTAAACATGCTTTTAAGTCCTCCCCCATTATGTTATTTAACCAAATCAAATTTGACAAGCTACAATTAGGGTTTTACATATTTAGGAAAATAAAAAATTCATATTGTACAATTAAAAAAGCAGTTAAGCTCCTGCATGTGGACCCACCGATATGCTTGGGTAACATTTATTGCATAGATGAGGTTTTGTAGTGAGCCCCTTCCTAGATGATGCATGATGCTGTGGAGCCATATAGAGAATTCTTGTTATACCATCTTCTTTCACTGTACTCACTAAAATTCTGCTCAATGTTATGTCTGTAACAGGGATGAAGATGAACCCATTATCTAGAGAAAGCCATGAAGTTTGGATTCCTAACCATTTTTCTTTCTTGTTAACTCTAGGAGGTTGAGTAATTGGAAGATTTATGTTTATTTGGTGATTAGCCAGTATAGGACTAAGAGCATTGTTTATTATTCCTTCCTATGATATTGTCAAGGATTCTTTTTTGGCTTCTTCATACGATGTCTGGAGCGAAGTTGAGAGGTTTGGAGTGAGGGAGAAGCTCTAAGCAGTTGTTTTAAACAGCAGTCACATGCTGCCTCGGAGAGCAAAATGAGATGAAAATAGTAGAGTTACTATATGTGGTATAAAGACGCTTTAAACACATGTATAGGATAATGTTGCTTAGCAATGCATAAAGACTAAAATTTCCTTTTTCTTTCAGATATTTGTGATTCATTCTTTTTGGTGGTTGGTGGAGTTTGATCCATCTATTGCTTCTTGGTTTTTCTTGTAGGCAATGGCTGGACCAAAAAGGCAATCTGAGAAAAAGCGAAGCACAGCGGAAAAGCATGTCAGCTTAAGTGTTCTCCAGCAATACTTTTGTGGGAGCTTGAAGGATGCTGCCAAAAGCATTGGTGGTGAGACTTCTTCCTCATTGTCATACCAGAGTTTATTGTCTTTGCCTATACTAGAAACTATGTTGATTGCTTTTATAAGAACTGTGTGAATGGAATTTTGAGAAGGATGTCAACAAATTAAACTTTGATCTTTAGTTTCTTGTTCCTTCTAAAGTCTTTCTACTTGCTACCTACATTGTTAGCTACCTGTGAATTGAAAATGGTTCTATTTGTTTTTTTTTTTTCCCTTGTTTTTGGACATGATACTACTTTGTATTAACTGCTCAAGTGCTTGTAGTGAATAATGAAAATTATAACAGCAACTGCATCACACTGATTTCAACCTGCTTTATGTGGAATTGATGGAAAGCAGTTTCTATTGGCCCCTCTTGCACCCACATTGCTTTTCTTCTCTTGTGACCATGTAGAAAGAGGGAAACAGGGGCAAGAATAATGTAAATGGAATTTTGTTAACTTAATTCCCTTTCTCTCTGGAATGATGAAATGTTTGTCACTGGTCACTCAGTGCTTACAGTTTTGTTTCTGTTTTTGCAGTTTGTCCTACTACACTAAAAAGAATATGTAGACAGCATGGCATCTTGAGGTGGCCATCCCGCAAGATAAACAAAGTGAATCGTTCTTTGAAAAAGATCCAAAGTGTGCTTGACTCTGTTCAGGGGGTGGAAGGAGGTCTGAAGTTTGATCCAGCTACTGGGGGCCTATTGGCTGGTGGCTCTGTCATCCAAGACTTTGATACTAGAAAAGGCATGCTCTGTCCAGTAAAAAGTGCTTCTCTCAGAAACCCTGATTCACTCACCCAAGATACAACTTCTGCTTGTCAAACTTATTGCATGGATGGCGAGAATTCTGTGGTCAAAATGGAAGAGTGCGATATGGATGCCATTGAAGTGCAGAATGCTAATATGCTGAGTCCAAACTCTCGTAAGGAAGCAAGTAAACTGCAGTCAAGCACAGTAGTATGCTGCAATGACACCAAACTGGCTGCATTAGATGCAGGGCAATCACAGCCAGCTAGTCCTTTGCCATATTCTGGTAATGCATCTCTTGATTCTTACCTAAAAAAGAGTAGCGACAAGGAATGGTGTCTAAATAGTGATAGGCAGAAGTTAGATAAATCCGACCATCAGTTAATTTCCCTTAGTTCGAGCTCTCTTGTTGTTGTTGATGAGATTGAGGCGAAGATGAAGAGTGATAATGGATTGGATGGTGATGACGGAGGCCTTGAATATAATCAGCCTACCTCCTCAAGCATGACTGACTCATCAAATGGGTCTGGGTCAATGATGAATGGCAGTTCATCAAGCTCTAGAAACTTTGGTGAACAAAAGCATTCAAAAAATGAGTCAAACTTCGGAGACAGCAGTTCAAAACTGACTGCGAAAGCTACGTATAAGGACGATACGATTCGGTTTAAATTTGATCCTTCTGCAGGATGTTTACAACTTTATGAAGAAATTTCAAAGAGGTTCAACCTACAATTGGGGGTGTTCCAGTTGAAGTACATGGACGATGAAGAGGAATGGGTGATGTTGGTAAGTGATGCAGATCTCCAAGAATGTCTTGAGATCCTAGACTTTCTTGGTACTCGGGCTGTCAAGTTTCTGGTACGAGATACACCTCAGACTATTGGCAGCTCAGGTAGCAGCAATTGTTACTTGACAGGAGGTTCATAAAGTCAATGGCGCAAGCTGAAAACTGTTGTTTCTTGAAGTGAATTATGTTGGCTTCGAAGCTGATCTCAAGGAGTGACTTAAAACATCTTGTTTTGCACTCATCTTCTGGAGTTTTGTCTTTATACTGGTTGTGCCAATTGTACTTTGGCTGAAAAACCAAGCATATAAAAGAATAAGAAGGAAGAAGCAGGCCAACGGCTAGCATTTTTTCCAGTAAGGTTTCTGATTGAAATCCATCCATGTCACTAGATCTTTTTTTTTTTTTACTTTTGTACATGTAGAAGTTACTGAGGTTTGCAGTCTTTAGAAGAGCTAGGCCGCTAAATGTTTGTGTTCTAACCCATTCTGTATAAAAGTTAGGTTAAAACATATGTAGGAAAGTATGAGAGTATCAGGGGCTAATATCTCTGCTAATGTATGTTTTTGTATGAAAGGATAGTAGATTTGTTACTTTCTGTTTCTATTTTACCCTATTTTGTGCTGCCTTGTCGTTGTGCATTAGAAGCCCTTCCAGGGCAAACCTTACTGTTGTTGTTTTACATTTGGTGACCCGAAATGTTTCACAAACCATAACAATAGAGCAATTGATATGATCTTTTCTAGCAATTTTAAAAGCATCAAGAATGATGAACTAAAGGTTTGAGTACACAAAAATCTCCAGTGGCCTGGCGAATTTGAACATTACTTCATTCTAATTTTATAACCCTAACTTACCCTTTCGTGCGTTGAACTTGTGTATAATCGTCAAGTTTTCTAGTAACAGTTTTACCAATAAAACAATAACGCTATTAGCCAGAAGGGTGTGTTTTGGAACCTGATTACTGAAAAGGGTATAGATCAAAATATTTACTGTGATAGGCATGAAATCTTCAAGTAATTTAAGATCGGATAAGAATCAAGTAAGCTGTTTACCTTTTTTCTAGGCATGTTAGGAGTTTTTCAAATACTATAAAAATTTAAAAAATACTCTAAAAGGTACCCTAAAAAGTAATTTAAATTTTTTTTTATGTTTAAAAAATATCCCAAAAAATATTTTAAAAACTCTACTACTCTTAAATATTCTAAAATATTTTCTAAAAATATCCCAAAATATACTTTAAAAACTCTGCTACAGTAAAATTTTTCGAAAACGCCCCCAAAAACAGCTAATTCAAACGAAGCCGCATTATTTTGAATTCAAACTCATTACTCTTTTATTTGATTGAATTTAGATAAATAAATCTTCCCAATTCTCACATAACTTGTAAAATGCCAAAAATGAGTAAAGAAATAATGAATAAAAATTGTAGGCAACAAACTATATATATGTGTGTGTCTATATACATCTATATACACTGACAGTGTATACACTATTAACGTTTGATCCATGGCACATGTGCAAAAATTAAATTTTAAATTTAAATTTTGTATAGTTGTCATTCATCTAACATTGACAGTATATACACTGTCAGTGTAAAAAATATTAATTCATATATATATATATATAGAACAAAATATTATAGTCCATATTCAACTCAATTCACATAATATGAGTTCAAGCCAGTCAATTTCGGGCCAAGCAGAGCAGCCCAGCCTAGCCTATTTGACAGGCCAACTTCTTTCCCATCATAACGAAAACTAAAATTGAGCAAAACGTTAGTTTGCTTTACATCTCATGGATTAAACCACATGTACATAAAAGCATGTTCTTGAACGCTATAAGAATCCGGATTGATGCCCTCTTTCTCAATAACTTTTGAAAGATTTGCTTACTTATTACGCTTGAATGGTTGGCTTCTTCCCAAATTTGCCCTAAATCAATTGCAATAATACACGTACCCTTAGGCTGTTTACGAACTGGCTGGTGTAGGATTGAATCAGAATAGGTTAGTAATTGTATGGTGATTTCTTCCCCAAGAAAGACTCACTAATGACAACTAAGCTTTATTGAATTCAGAACTCTCTAAGCACAAACACCAGGATGGCAAGTGTAAACCGTCTTTGACATTTACCATGAATTGGATCTCCAATCCCGATGAAATATGCTCTAGAAAACACCATAAAGCACAAACACCAAAAGCTAAATACTGCCTCCATCCAGGAAAATTTGGACAGCGCAAGATATGCAATGGTTGCAATGGTTAATGATGTATCTCTGTCTCTGTTGTCCCAGATTCGAGTATCCTCAATTGCAAACCTGCAGCAATTTATTGTAGTTTATTGCTCCTGACTAAATGAAAGGTTCACCAAAAGTGAACCATATACCAACTCAAATAGATAGATGGCAAGTTTCCCCCCAAAAAAAAAAGAAAAAGGAACTTACTCATCTACGGTGGATGACAACACGAGGTTTGCAGTGTCTAAGGATGTGCTCATTCCTTTCTTTTGCTCTCCATTTTTTGCTTTTCTCACAAATTGACCTGCATATGAAGTTTGCGAAAGTCCAACCTTCTCATGAACCTGAATAAATTGCTGTGGCGGCCTACTATTTTACATCCATTACTCAACGCAAGCATGCAGGCCTAGCACGCTTCATACCTGCGGCATGATGTATCATAATTGTCAAAGGAAATAATGAAATTTAGTAGATAAAAGAAACTTCAAAGGGAGAAATATATATAAAGAAATAAAATAGCACCAAGATTTGAGAATAAATGGTTCAAATCTGGTCTGCCGCCATAAAGATGATGCTCATAGAAATAACTTCAGTGCATAATCAAGAATGGGGATGTTTAGGGAACCCACATAATGCCCGATTATTGGAGTTTGTTGCTGCTATAATCCAGTGAATGCTAGATACATCAGCTCTCGAGGCATGGAGTCATCTTAGGCCATCATCTTAGGCCATAAAGGACAATATCTACAATTAGGACTTTCCTTTTGGAGTCAAATTTATGTTGTCAGGTCAAACTTATACTCTCAATTTTCTTGGCCTTTAGCATCCAAAATGTTAAGCATCCTCAGGTTTAGTGTTTGCTCAGTGCCTGGGAAGCTTTCGGCCTTCAAGTCTCGTTTCTTTACGTACACAATTACTTTCATGAAGGTCTAATGGAACAGACAAGGTTAGTTGGACTAGAATCTCTCCACTGAATTGATGGACCCTGTCTTTTGCTTATTTTTCTAGGTCTCCTCTTCTAAGATTTTGCTGGTGCCCTTTCAATTCCTGTAATGTTTACCAGTTCCTGAAATGGAAGGATGCACATCCATCTTTAGCCACTAACTCTTAATTGGTGCTGGAGTGCTTGCTATCCTGCTTTCTACTAGAAAAGTAAGCAGACAATGAGTGAATTGGCACCGATAAGTGATAGCCAGTTACTATTGCATAATCTCTCCCAAAAACTCCCTTGAAATTAGAACTTCATAGATTTCATGACTAGCTATCCAACTTTCCAGTAAATACATTAAACTGACATCGAGAAAATAAGAATAAAGGTATGTTTTGGTCTTAAGGATCTGTTCAGTTAGCGAATGACAATCTAAATACTTTAATCACCCTAGCCTCTCTTCAAAAGGCAACTCCATAAATTCTCTCAAGGTTTTAAAGATCAATTCTAAGCGCAAATGGTGTCAATTTATAAACATAAGTAATGACACAACTCTGGGATCTCTGACAAAACTCATTATTCATCCATTGACACAATCTTTATGCACAAAGAAACAAAGTTGACTCACAGATTGACCTGTCTGACACCATTAGATAAACATACACTCCATACATCATTTTCATCAACATAAAGATCTAAGAGAACCACACTTGAGAACATTAATCATAAGGGCAAGCGTTAAACAACCAAACACAGTTGGAATTCACAAAACTCAAATAACAACTTTTCATTCCTAAAGTAAATAACAGTTAGGTTCTGATTCTTCCAGTACACAACATGATGATTTTAACATAGTATTTGTTGCCAATACGTTGTAGGCATTGCTTTTTTAGGCAGGAACCTGAACATTAACCGCAGCATTCTCCTATTTATTTGAAGTTGTCTTATCACACTAAAGCTCACCAAAAAAATCTACTGTGTTCAGAAGGTGAAAAGAACAAAAGAACATGTTAGTAATAAGTACCTTTGGAGTCATTAGGTACTGATTCACGGTTTTGAAGATATGTCAAGTGATGCTTGCCTAGGTTCAGGTGTTGTGCTTGTGCAAACTCATCTAACATGCCACCAATAATACTGTAGATGGCCATACTTGTCTCATCACAAGCTGTCTGTATAGAAAGGTACTTATTTACACCTTTACATTGCTTGTGGTGCAATATACCTCTCTCTCCCAGTGGAGAGCTATAATGCAGGGAATCTCCATTTCTTGCATTGTTATTCACAATTTTGTCTGTCTTTAGATCATGGCCACTTTCTCTTCTGCCAGCAGAGAGAGGTGAAGAAGATCCACATTGATTGACTGTAGAGCAAAAAGGATGCAAATCAGTTGGTTCAAGCTTTAACAAACTTGCCAACTGGCGCTCATTTCCATTAGAGCTTTCTATGTTGTCTAACATTTTTGATTGTGAAACAGAAGAGCAATAGACAGAATCATTGGGCTCAAACATATCCCTCGCAAAATGCACGGATTCCATTCTACTATTTAACTTACTCGTGGGTGAAATAAGTGAAGCCCTGCCATCTCCATTACCTGAAGAGATGGGCGAATCAATATCAAGGGGGTTGGTTTCACCAAAACACTCTGTTAAGTCCTTAAAATCATCAAAACTTGATTTAGAACTTTGAGGAAGATCAATCCCTTTCTCATCCTCGTCATCATCACTTTCCTCTAATACCTCCATGTAGGCGTTAGCAAAATCTTGATCAACTTCTTGTCCAGGTAGAAGGTTCCAGACAACCTGCTTTGTCTCAGCACTCAAGCATAATAAAAATTCCACCTCCTGTTCCACTTCATCCTTTGAGGTGCTCCTACAAGCTGGATTACAGAATCTTTTGTTAATGTAGTAAACTGCCTGCACTAAACATTCTGGAATAATTTCCATATCATCACACTCAAAAAGAAAATCCATGAAAAGATTCCTTATAGTCAAGCACGACCATTGCTTTGAATTCTCAACTTTAGAGTCTGCCCACTGATGCAAGATTTCATGCAATGCTTCAATTTCAGCAACGACCACACTGTTTCCAGAATTAAGAAGACAAATAGCCCTTGCAATATCATTCTGTAGGGATTCTATATGAGGTGCAAATGTTCGAAATTCAACTACAGAGGGGCGGCAAAGTATCAATTTTAGCGTTAAGCCTGCAACTGCCAGAGCTTTGACCAGAGGTTCCTGTAACTCTTCCCCTTCACGCAGTTCTGATAGCATCTTCATACAACGTTTCCTAACAGTATCTATCAAGACATGTTTCACCTGATGTTTACAGGGACCTAACTCAGGAATGTACCCACTTTGACCTCTAAGCTTCCTGTGCATTGCATTTAGCGTCTTAAGAGGCAACTCCTCAAGTCCATCTAACACACTAGCAGCAGCAGTTTGATAATCAGTTGGTACCCTATCCAACCCCAGGATATACTGAGGATTATTGAGAAGAATGAAAATCTGATTCATTCTCATTTCAACATTATGGTTTTCCTTGTTAAGAAATGTGGGAAGGTATTCTTTGATTAACTTTCTCATTTTCCACCTAGTTTTTTCAAACTCAATCGAGCCCTCTGTCAGCAAGCCAGCAAGACAACACAATCCGTTGTTTGTCATTTTATCAAGCAGGGATGACAGATTGTTCAATAGATACTGTGAATCAAAGGATGGCCCATCCTTTTTAACTTCCTGATTTTTTACCAAGCTTTGAACTCCAAAACCCCTTTCGACGAAGGACCTGACATTGTCATAGTATACCTGTAAACCAATTATTCACATAAATATCAACTAATGATGAACAAAGAATACTTGTCAAAGCATTCAGTAAATCAGGACAACTGAAGCACCAACTTCACGTGAACTAGGAGGTTTTACATCGTAATAAAAATGGTAAAACATATATTTATCTTCCTTCTAACAATTAACATGTTCTTTAAGCATAATTACATTAAACACCCCCTCTCCCCTGGTAAAGCAGACTTAAAATTTACCTCCCTATCCTTTTGATACCTACAAAGGACCCCCTTGTGCTTTTGGTAAAACTGAAAATTTTTACTTTTCTTGTAAAGTTAATCACGCAAAAGACAAACTCAGTAACACATTAATTTAGAATTACAGATCCGCCCTTCAAATAATTTCCACAAGAGTTCAAGGCAAGCATATTTTTTTAGGGGTTTAAATAAAATAATACAACAAAAAAATCTGGGCAAACCTAAAAGGTCATTTTTCTTTCTTCTTTGACAATCATCAGTGACACAATATTTCCCGCATAATTCTACCACCATGTTCAACCATTTCCTGGTGACTTTAAAAGAAGACATAATCCACTCTGATTTCAGCGAAGAGAACATTATTTGCCATCTAAACAATGAGTCTGAGCCAACAACCACAAATAAACTACCAAAAATCCCATCGACCCCATTATGAGAAAAAGGATTTTATATCAATTAATTCTTCAAATTTGAGTATCAATCCCTAAATGTAATTTGATACAGGAAACACTACAGAATTTTTCATTTCACCCAATTTTCAGCAAATTTTGTTTACATTGTTCTGAGAGTCTAAGGGAAGTGATTGGTGGTAATTAGAGGCAGAAATTTGAATCTATATCCACTTCTAAATCAAATAAACCAAGCTTAATGAACTTGTGATTTAAGAAAGTGACTTTAAATGGATGACCATTTATACCCAGTCAAGTTGGTGGATATAAATGACTTATCCATGCCATCTATATGCCCAATTATCAAAAGAAGAATGAGAACTGAGGAAAGTTACAGGATAATGAGTGTCACTAAGACTAGTCTGAAGATGACTAATTCAAAAAGTCAGGAATAACACCAGTGAAATCAGTTGCTCTTGAGACATGAAGCTGGTGCACACGAGTTATATGTTTCAGGCACAAACTCACCATGTAAAACCTTATAGGAAGGACAACCCTAACAACCTGGCCTGGCTGGATTCAACTCCTCATGAGGAAGAGCAGTGAAGTGTTTGTGAGTAGTGGATTGTAGGTTCTAGTCAACGTTAGCTACGCAATAAATACGATCAACAATATTCCTCCATTTAGACTCATTTATCAAGTAGTTGTATATAAATCATATTAATTTTATCCACTACCCATTAAGTAATACCATTCATCCATTTTGACAGTTCTAGTGATTGATGGAGAGTACTTGTGAAACTGACTAGCATAAAAATGAAGAAAGACAAAAGCCAGGAAACCAAACTACAGCAACAGGAAACGAAAACAGAAGAAAGATAATCTGCAAATAGATATCAAAAAAGGCAAAGCAAGGAAAATTAGAATGATATTGCAGAGATAAAACAAGATAAACTCTCAATCAAAAGAAGAGGCATCTGTGGTCCATTGTGCTGTGTAAAGGGAAATATATAAAAAAAAGGGAGCCAAAAAAATGAAAATTATGTTCAAGTATAGAGGTTCATCAATCAAATGCATGCTATCCATGCATTCTGAAATGTAACTTACCGTCAGTTTAGGATGAGCTACATACAAGGACCTGACATTTTAAAACTGCAGAAGATAGGTAAAGCCACGTCCCGTGATTTAAATAGACAAATAAGAATAAATTGATACTATTGGAAACAATATCCCCAGGAAGTTACCCAATGAAATAATGTATTACCATAAGATTTATCAAAAAGCAAATCATCACAACAAGAGAAAGAACAAAAGGGGAAAAAAAAAAGAAACTTACATCATCTTCTCTAATCAATGTTTCAGGTGTAAACCTGCAGCATAGGAAGGGAAAGCAAAATGAAAAATGGCAATCAATCCTCATCTAACATACATTATCATAAGAAGAACACAAAAACTTGCATACCACTATTCTCTTACAGTTCAATAACTTTGTGCTCAAAGTTACTAGAATAGCAACATTAAAAACATATCAAATCAAATAGGGGAATTTTAAGGCAGACAAACAACATGAAGAGGTATGGTAAAGCACCAACGGTGAACTGATCAAGGGTAGAAACAAGAAGATGAACGAACTCTTAATAAAAGTGACGAATGATCACAAGACTGATTAGCATTCTTTCTATCTCACAAATTTATCGTGCGAATTTGTTAGCACATCATCTTTGAGGATATAGGTACCAAAGCACAAGTACAGCCAACAGAACTGCAAGTGATTCATTATCTTTTCCTATAGTTTCCTCCATTCAGATAGGTGCTAATATCATGAGACTTTGATTCTCATGCTTAAGTTTGGTACTTTGCAGCTACAAGTTTTTATCAAGAACCAATAAACCCAAGAACTCTCTTACTGAATTACTACCTAAATTGCAAATCGGGTTGAAAGAATTGGAAATATTTCAAGTAATACTGCCCAATAACATTTTATTTTTATTTCTTTATTGTACTTACCAACTAAAAATGGATTACTGATAATGGGACTCCCAAATTTCTTAATGGCACTCTGTTTGATAAACATACCCCAAAATTCCATTTCAATTAGAATATAGGAGGAAATGGTGTAATCCTAGTTGTAAAGCTATTTGTGAATTATCACGTGATTAAAAGATAAAGAGCGAGTTTCATTAACAAATATGGGAGCATCAATCCCTGTATATACCTTTTGTGATACTACTAATATTTACAGCTACTAAAGCAAACCAATTAATATGATTCATGAGTTTACACTAGAACAGAGTTTAGATAATTATTAACATTTTTTCAAAAATGCTACCAACGAAAGGAATAAAGGGAAAAAAAAGGTTTTAAGCAGAAGAAAATGAAAGATAACAATTAACATACATGTCTTCCAGATGATTCAATTCCTTGTGTAGCTTTTTCTCCAACCCAGACAGAGGCAAATCCATCAACAACCTGTGCCAAACAGTTCTCTTTTTTTGGGCCATATAGTGACAATAATAAAATCATATTATCCATTGGAAAAAAGACAAAGAGAAACCTTCTTTTGAGCTTGAGAAGATTATCTTGTTTTGTAGTTTGTAATAGTAGATTCATAGAATTCTCCATCGTAACCTAACCAGCTGCGCCTTAGCTTTCTCGTTTGTGAGTTCTGTGGGTGGGCATGCGACCGCACAGGTCAAAGACTGAAAATATAGATAATAGTTACCAATATGTATAAGTGAACAAAAGAAGAGGAGCCAGCTATTATAAGAGACCTAAATTGTCAATATTCTAGTTTTAAGGCAAAAATGATTTAACTAATGCTGAACAAATAACATGTACTTAATTAGCATTAAAAAATGCAAAAAAAAGGATGATCAAAAGTAATAAAACGTCTAATTTCATGTTTATGTTGGACCAGCCCTAGCACACAAGATCATTCCACAATAATGAAAGTAAGAAATAAGTTTAGAGAAGCAAAGAATAACACGATAATAGAATCATATTAGCCTCTAGCAACAACTTACATAACAATAAGTACTAAAAGGAACAACTAATTAAAGCTTAACTAAAGGTGAATTATACTTAATTTGACAAATTGAAACTGATAATTGACTTGTCTAGTAGTACAGATCTAAAACAAAGCTAAGGAGTCAATCGAAAAAAAACCAAGGAGCGTCAAAACAGAAAACTAGGAAAGTCAATGGACTAAAGTTGCATTTTTATTTTAAAAAAATCGTTTTTCTTCGCTGAACCAAAATGCCACCGCTGCTATTTGTCATTCTCCTTTTTCTCGGATTGGTTCTCAACTCTGGCCAGTTCGGACTTCCACCCTCTCCCACACAGATTACACATAATATGCACAAACTAAAATTCGTAGAAAGGAAAAATGGAAAAATTAGTGAAAAAAGTGACAAAACAGCAAAAACCAACACAATTTCCTCGAACTCCAATCACTCTCATCTCTCTGTTAGCTTCCTTGCAAACTTCCTTCTTTCTTCATTCGAACCTCCCGACAAACAGGTAGTGAGCATGAAAAGTTTTGAAATTTCTTTTTCATCGATTCCTTATACGGCTTGAGCTTGAATTTTAAATCTAAAACTCTACTCAAACCTATGATCAATTCCAGCCACTTAAAATCAATTAACAAGACGAAAGTAAAGCATAACCGACATGATTGCAGACAAAGAAAAAAACAATACAATTAAGGGGGGAAAAAAGGTACAAGAGTGCGGAAACTTTACAGTGATGATTTCCGCTGTAGCGGCGGGAATCCAGTGAGACGATGGTGGCAACCTTCGCCTACTCTACTCCGCACTCTCAACCTGAATATCTAGTCAGTAAGGAGAAGCATGGGGATGGGTTTCAGAGGAAAGAAGAAAAAGGAGAGCACGAGTATCTGTTTTCTTATTCTTTTTGTCCTAGCAAAGAGAGCGAAGGCTTATTGGTGCAGGTGCTGTCGTTGACGAGGAGGGCAGAGAAGCGGCCGAGTTAGCAACTGAAAATAGGGAAGTGGGGCGGCGGCAAAGGCGGAAGACGGACTCGGACGCGGAGATGGAGATGGCGAGTAAGGAGAAAGGAAATAAGGGGGGAAAAATGAACTCTCTGTCCATTTGTTATAAATAAATTTAATGTCTTTCCAAACATTACCCCTTTTTCACATGGTCAGGAGAGGTTTTAATAATTATTGTGAGTCCCAAATGGCACATCCCATCTTTGTCTGACTAGATCAAGGGTGCTCCCTTGAATTTTTTTTTGCAGCAGGTGGGGTTTAAACCCTTCACCTCCATCCCATCTTTACCAAGATTGCTAAAATAGCAAAGCGTCATTTCTACGAAACTATGATAACTCTAGAGCGTGAAGCTAGGTACATTTCAAATGGTTATCAATAGATTACCAAAGAAATTAAAGGCCCACAATTGCATTCGTTCTTTAATCGTAAATTGGTTACAAATAGGGATACAAAAGTAAACCAAGCAAAATTATACTTCGAATCTTTTGCCCCTAGATTAGTCTCTATCTCCTCTGTTCCTTCTTTGTACAGTTGCCACGTGTTTCTAACTTTACTCCAAAACCAATTAAAGCAGATAATTCAAAACTTTTTTGCCTTTGGATCAAGTGGTTCCAATGACTCAAAATTATTTTTTCTTTGGATAAATCAAGCGTGGTTCCCTAATCAGAATTTCTTCAACTCTAGTTTACATGAAAAAGAAGATTGCAAGTTTTGGTTTTGAATAAACTTGTCAACTGATTATTATCGGTTTGTTTGAATTTAGGTTATTAAAAAATTAGAAATACATCGCAACTGTACAAAGAAGGGGACAGAGGGGATAGAGATTAATTTGGAAACAAAAGATTCGAAACCGTAAAATGAGGTGACTGTTGATTTAAAAAAAAACACGATTTTCGAAGAGTGTCAAACTTATTGAGACAGAGGGAGTAACAACTAGGGAAAAAATTTTTACCAGAAAATTTTTAAATACCTTATATCTAAATAATTTGTTATATTTTTTTTTTCACTTTTTCTATTTCTTTTTTTCCCCATATGGTTGTTGATTTTCTTTTCTTTTTTTCCCGATGGTTATTTTATGCTTTCAACATTTATATCCATATTTTTGTCCTTAAACATTTTTACAACAATTTATTTGCGTATGGTTATGGTACTTTTCTCTTTCCTTAACTTGCATTTTTTTCTTTTTAACTAAAACATTGTCTTTTTTAAACTTTTTTTATACATATCAAATCTTTCGAAAGTGGACATTTTTGTCAATCTATCACATCCAATAATTAAGTTGAGGAATTGTCATTGACAGAGGGTACCATAAATTGGTCAACTTGTAGAGTTTATTTTGGGGTTAAATGTGGGAAGCCCACTTAATGTTTTTTTTTTTTGAGCATTTTGCCCACTAAATGAGGGGTTAAACATAACCGTTGAATTGAAGAATATAAGCATGGTTACAAACGAACGGAGTCGAGTCGAAATTTGGCCCAATCGAGCCACGTCTTGATTTAATTTTACCAAATTTGAACTTGAGTTCAATCTTGAAAGCTCTCAATGTAAAGTTCAAACTCGACCTTGACCTCAAATTTGAGTCGAGTTGAGCTCAAGCTCAATCTTAAAAAATAAAAAAATAATTATTTTTTAAAAAAATGAATAAAATGGTAATTTTTAAACAAATAATAAAATGATAGGAATATATATGTAATTTCACTATTAAAATAATATATATAGATATAATCGAGCTAACGAATTGCATATCTTTGAACTCGAGTTCGAGCTCGTTCTCCTCGATTTAGTCAGTTCAAACTTGATTCGAGTTAGATTATCCTTAAGTTAGTAATTGTAGTCTACCCCCATTAACTATGACCGTAGTTGCTCTCTGTCCCCGAAAGAATTTTATTCAATTTTATCTCGCAATTTATGTTTTAAGGTTAAAATTACCCTTGATATTCCACTTATTCTCTCTCATTTGGTTTCCCTTTCTATATCTTCTCTCATTCTCTCTCATTTTTTGTTTTTGGTAATTCCACAATTTTGTATTTTCTTTCTTGCCTCTACAAAACAATATGGCCTTGTTTGACAAGCAAGTTTTTGGTCAAGTTTATCTGCTACAAGTTTTTTAACAACTTTAGCTACAGTAATCTCAAAAAACTTCTCAAAGTTTTTAAACTATACACTTCAAAATATCCAAAAATTTACATACTTTAAAAATTTTTTCTACAACTTCTACAGTAAGTTACAGTAAAGTTTTAACCAAACAACCAAAAAACTCACTTACTAAATAGGGCCTATATTATTGCTAATAGTTGACTCATTACAAAACTTAATTTTTACATATATCTAAATAAATAATTTCTGAATTAAATTTCTTAGTTTTCTTACTTTTCTTTGCCTAATTTTTTTTACTTTGTCAAATTTTTTAAGTTTTCACCATTAATAATTAATCACAGACTCGATGTAAATTCTGTTGTTGCTTATATGACAAATCATATATAATCTAGAAATTAAAATACATATACATGGACAGTGGATAGGGGCCACGTGTTATCAAGATACTCGGAATAGACACGTGGACGGTGGATAGAGGGCCACGTATCATCCATCTGAAGAATGGACGGTTGAGTATGTGGCCCCATGTAACTTTAGTGGCGTGGGCCGAAAAAGACGCTAGAGGCGGACATGTGAATGATGGATAGGGGGTCATGTGTCATCCATCCAAAGGATAAACCAATGTTTTAAAACCCGGACCGTCAAGCGAACCGGTGAAGTGAAAGGGTCGAGGTTCAACCGGTCGGACCGGTTCAACCCCGGTTCAATAAATTAATAATATATATATATATCCTAATTTGCATCTCCTGTTAGTGTACTATCTACATGCCTTTCCATGAACAGCAGAATTAGATTAAATCTAAATGCAAGTTTCCTAGCTCAGGAAACACACACACACACACACACACACACACATCTATGCACAGAATAAGATATAAATGTTAAACTACAATTAACATAAGAGCAATATCCAACAATTAACACACACAATTAACATAGTTATCCAACTTACATGTCCAATTGTCTAAATATTAGAATTAACAAAAAACAATACAAGTCTAGAAAACAATCAAAAGGTCCAAACAAGTCCAATTTATAAGTCGTCATCATGATAAGTCATCTTGACAACAAAGCTTCATCATTCATTCTGGGACAACAAAGCTTCAAAAGGTCCTTTATTAAGCTTTGGTTTTTCTTCCATTGTCTGGGATAGTCTTTAATTCTATGTTTGGAATCTGTTTACAAGTACTTAAGTAGGTTTGACCAGGACAGTTTCTTTAGGGTTGTCAGACTAAGGCCAATTGCAGAATCATTAGCCTCAAGAACATAGCTAGAATCATCCACGGTTAGAATTGTTCTTAGTGATGTCAAAAATATATTCATGTAACTCAGAATTTTTATACCTAGGATAGAATTTATATTCTAACATTCTTGGTTACACGTGGCAGCTTTTGGTTGCTTCTCTAGTATTCAGACTCCTTGTACATGTTTGGTAGTAGACAGCAGTCTTAATATGTAGACATAATAGTTTTCCAACTGTAGGTTGTGCATAATTTAATGAGCTCTAATTAGTCAACAATAGATTTGGTTGTTGACCTTTCAGAAACAGGAGGTCACGGAATGATTTAGTTGCATGTAAACCTAGCAAGGGACTTATATTATTTAATAAGTGGAGTAGCATTTGAGCTTCTGTGAAATACACTGATGGTGGATTGTAGAAAAGATGATTTGAAGAATATACACCAAAAGGACAGAAACCAGATATGTATAAACATTTTGTCTTATAGACAGAAGCAGAAAAAGCTTTGGCTAAAGTAAGAAAAGAACCTTGCTGTACAGAAAATCAAATTCTGTTTCATCATAGAATCTCTGTGTCACTGCACTTTGGTTAATAAAGTTTTCTAATTATAGGATTAAGTGTTTACCTATAACAGCTAAAGATTGAAAGACTGGCAACTATGATAAATGGTAGTATGAGATTATTATTGAAAGAGTCATGGTTATTATATCTATGTTAACCTGTTATATTAACCTGACAAGACAAACAAGAAGATTTGTTCAACAACTGAAAAACATGTTTTGGAAGATTGTGTCAAATTCTCACTTCACTTCACCAAGTAACCAAACGTGTCAAAAATTCGTCCCAATTCGCCAAATGGAAGTACTTGAAGCAAGGGAAACTTTCTACATGCTTCAATATCAAATTATAATACAACTCCACAATGATAGGCTGTCCAACTGAAAGACCGAGGACTTTTTTTTTCTTTTTTTTTATCCAGTTTTCAGATAATACCAAAAGAAAAAGACTTTTACTGAGGCCGTTGGTGGAATTTAGCAGTGAAATACTGGGAATTTAGCAGTTTAGTACCAACATCTGGTACCTGACCACCAATTAATTGACATTTTTTATTGTCGGCCAAAAACATTAATAGGGAGTCTACCTCCCAATTAAGTTCCGGTTTCACCAGCGGCGCAACTCAACAACAGGGCAACCAAATTATCTAACGAGTCAAAAAAAACGAAAATTGCAGGACAAACAGACTGACAGCTTATCTAATTTGAGGACAAACCAAAAAAAAATTGATTTAGGCTGATCAGCTTATAATATAATCATTTAGCTGCTGCTGCAATGACAAGTTAATAAGGATCATATGCCCAAAAATTACGGCAGTATATATACATTATACAGAGGGCCGAGGGGACGGAAGGGCAACCAAAACCCAATAATCAACAACGAAAGGAAAAAAAAAGGGAAAAAGGATAAACAAACCTGGTATAAGCTTGAGGCCTTTCAGGAGTGCAATAGTAAATCTTAAATGAGAATCGTGAAGGTAGCAGCTGAGATGAATTGAGAATCGTGAAGGTAGCAGCTGAGATGAATTGGTGAATTGATGTCCCTAAACCTAGCTGAGAATCGTGATGTCCCTAAAGCTGTTGATGAATTGATGGGTAGCAGCTGAGAAATGAGAATCGAAACAAATGAATTGAGTTGAAGCGGCGAAGCGAAGAGTGTCGTGAAGGCTGACGACTGAAGAGTGAACTGAAGAAGTGAAGATTAGGTTTAAACTTTAGATAATTGAGGTTAAATTTGAAAATTCGGTCAAAAGTTGGAGAACCGTGGTTCACAGGTTGAACCGGTTTTAACGGGTTTTACGATTTTTACAATTTTGACCGATTCTTGGCCCAGGTCAACAAAGACTATGAACTGGACCAAACACATGACCGGTTTGCGTTGGAAATGAGAGGAGATGGACCTGGCTTGTTGAGATGGTTGACAGTGGCAGTTGATCTTATAATCATGGTGCTAAAGGATCAGACAGCGCAAGTGAGAGAGTTCTTCCAGACCATGGAATTGGCATCTGGGAAAAACAAATACATAAAGTAAGTTGAGAGCAACGCAAAATCCATAAAGGAACATTTCAAACTCAACATCATACTCTACTTATATAGCACACAAATAAAACAGAGAATTAGTCATGTTAAAAGAATAAAAAAGAGACAGCCAACCAAATGAGACTAACATACCAATTTAAAAGCAATTCCACACCAGAAAAGACTGTCTTGAGCAAGCAAAGAGCCAGTACCCCTAAATAAGTCAAGTCCGAATGCTAGTACGGTCAGAGAAGAACTGTACCGTAAGCAATTCAAAAAATGTGAAATTCATCACACTCTCTAAATTGTGACAAACAAAATATCTGATTCATGAATTTTACATACATGCAAAACATCCTAAATGCCAAACATCCAATCTCAGAATTACTTCTAATAAGGAAAAGGTGTACAAGTTCTACATGTTTTGGGAATGCAGGTTTTTGAGACTGTAAGAAAGAGCTGAACATTGGTACAAGGTCCAATCTTGCTCTATAACAGTACCACCAGCTGAAAGCCAAAATCAATTACCACAAAATAAGCATAGACAAAAAGCCTAAACCTTGCCTAGAACATGTTGTGCTAATAAAATCTAAGAGAAGCAGCAAAAACAAATATTCAAGCTTGAACAACTTAATTGAACAGTGGCATCCAGAGCTTTTCTTGTAAGTGTTAAAGCAGCTGGTGTTCATAACAGCATATACATTCAAAACTCTGATACAGTTCAAAGGGAGGTAAAATCACAGGATAGAGAGGGTTTGGCAAAAAACTATTAGCAATTAATTTGCCAATTACCACAAACTCAACACCAAAAAGCATAGACCTTGTCTTGAACTTGCTGTCACAATTTAAGAGAAGATGCAAAAACGGATTTGTGAGCAATTTATTGAACCGTGACATCCAGAGATTTGCTTAAAATGTTAAAACATAATAGCATCTACATTCTCCTTACAGAATCAAAGATAGTTTAAAAAGGGGGGAAAACAGAGGATAGAATGTTAGTTGAAAAACAACAGCTATTAAATTGCAAATAAGCACATGGGATCTTTTTCTTGGAATAACTTGCTTGGCTAACCCAATCAGTAACTTTGGAAGTTTTAGCTAACAGAATTTTTCATACTTTCTACAATCCACACAACGAAAAATAAAAAAAATCAAGCAGCAAATGCAATAATTCATGCAAACACATAGTCAACACTTAAAAAATTAAGAGAAAGTGCAAAAAATTGAAAGCTAAACCAAGATTAAGACATTGCGCAATCTAACTTTCAGAAGAAAAGAAAAATAAATATTGTGTACAAAAAGGATATAGTTTCAGGGTTCGTACAATTGCAGTCAAGACAAAAGGACATAAAAACTGAGTCAAAGGCAAACAGAAGTTAATATCTTTGATTGTCAAACACCAAGCAAAGTTGACGAATACATTTTAAGTTCAAGTTTTTTCAAATCCTATAAGTTTCATCAACACACAGCAGAACCATACAGAAATTATAGCCACAAATAACAATTTTACCTGCAAATAACAATTTTGTTAAATGGCAAAAATTCTTGCACTTTGGTGGCAGAAGCTTGATGAACATAAGAAATTATTGTAGCAAAATTCTAAATAGAAAGTTGAATTAGTGTGCTAAATTGAATATTCAAAGTGGTTACACGGCAAAGGACACTACCAAACAGCAGGTAACCCTAAACAAGTCCAATTACAATAGTAATGGAACCAGATATTCCACATAGATGGACAATAAATTTTAACTAGCAAATGTAAAGTAAAACTTTTTATACTAAAATAAGGGATGTTATTTATCTATAATTATATATTTGTTTTATACTAACCAATTATACTTGTCATAAAATAAACCTTAGACCCAACCAAAAGCACTATTTGAATGTTTGCAATACCAAGTGCATAAACGCCGATCACAATCCCAATGACTTCTTTCCTGGCTGAACCACCATCCCTACCACCTATAGGAATACTCTTCAAGACCTCTTTATGCATGTCTGAAATGACGCTGTCAGGAAAGAACTCAACGGCAACCTTTCAGTAGTCCTCGTTTCCAGCCACCATGTCATCATTTTCTTCTTCTTTGCTCGGGGTCAGGCCCGCTGCAACAATTAATCAAGACTTTTAATAGCCCGGTCCACTTGTTCCCTGGTCGGAGGAGATGCACACTTTAGACATAGATATAAGATGTTATTGAAGTGTCACATTATTTTAGACCAATACATATAATATAACCACCAGTGGTTTTAGTTTTTATTTTTTATTTTTAAATAATATAAACTAAAAGCAAAGAGGAAAAAGAAGAAAGGACCTAAAATGGGACTTTGAAATGCGACGATCAATGGCCCGGTATAATCTAGGAAAAGAAATTTTCAAATATTTGGAGTCGCCATTCAAAATTGGACCCTAGGTACAACGTGTCAGCTAGAAATTCTATCAAAAAACGAAATTTTTATTTTTTGAGACAAAATTCTTTAATTAGACTATTCCTCCTTTAAAAAGATAAGATAAAATAAACTTCAGTTGAGAGGAAGGAAGGTCAAGATTTCAACCACGAGTACCTTCCCAAAAACCACAACCAACAATTGCTAAGCATAAACAGAAACCCAACACCCTACAAAAGTTTTTTGAATGGATCACAGACAAATTAGCAAATACGCCAACTTCGGTTCCTCTTCCTCTTTTATTATTGTGAGCCTCTTTATCTCCTTTGAGTTTGACCATGTAATCAGATTTTACTTTAACCATGAAATCTGATCCATCAACTGAACTTGTAATTTGGCAATTCCAAAGAGAAGACAGGAGGAACGGTAATATACAATAGAGTTTGAAGGGATCCATTGTGGTGTGATTTGTAGTAGTTGTAGGCAAAGGTTGTTGGGAATTTGAGAGCAAGTTATGGGAGGAAGGGGTTGATGGATGAGAATAGAGTGACAATAAGTGAAACAGAATCATCGTCATTGGCTGAGACTTGTGAGCAGGAGAGCTAGGGTTTCTTTCTTTTTTTTAATCTCATTTCATTATAATGTGTATTATCTATTAAGCGAAGGTCATTATAGTCATTTTATTGTGACAAGGGAGGTCAGTGTAATTTGTAAAACCCAAGGGGATTGAAATTGTCATAAACCTCAAGGGAGGTTTGTGAAACTATCCCATATAAAAGTAGTACTTAGGTAACAGACTTCTGTGATCTAAGAGTCACAGACACCAATCTTTTCAGTTGTTCATAATTTCAAAAAGAAACCCAATAGTTTTGTTAATCAAAAATAGACCAGACCACACTACCTCTCACGAGCAATGTCTCCAGGACTTGTGTCATTCTTCCTCTTCCTCACCCAAATCACCTATTTTTCACCCTGCTTGTTGCCTGCCACCTTTTCTCCTCCCACTCGTTCCCACTTTCGTACCCTCTTCTAAGTCCAAATCCAAATCCCATATCATCAATCTGCAAACCCCAAATGGCCATCTCTATTTTATCTTCTATTCATTACTCACAACCTCTCCTCCCTTTTAATACCTTCCAATTTTCCATGCTGATCTGGATGTTAATCGCGTGATTCATGATCAACTGGCTGTATATTACATGCACATGCTTTGAAAAAAAGAGTGATTTTGGGATGAAGGTATTTGTTTGATTGAAAAGTTTACTGGATACGTGCAATTTGTGGAGTTCCCTTGTTAATTTTGATTTCACAAGTAGTCCATAAAATCATGGAATTAATTAGCCATTGGACACAATTGTGGCAGAAATTGTGACAGTATTGGAATAATGGAGAAGGTAAGAGGAAGGGTGTTAGAGAAATCAGAACTAAGGAGGAAACCTTTACTGTTGCACATTGAACTAGACAAGCTGGTTGCCCATTGGTGCTCCTTGCCAACTAATCATCCATACCTCACAATGAAGTAGCGGACTGTAATTTAACCTTTCTCCGTAAACATATGGTATCCATGATGAAAGATATGGCAAATTAGCCATAGGTAACCATAAATTCGTAGCTATCTTGGTCTGACTTCAATGGACACATATGCAGATGGGATGACAAAGAACTGCCACTTTTGGTGATTTGATTCCCATAACTAACCCAACTCTAGAAGATGAAGGAAATGAACCATAAAAATTAAGTCTATCTTCTACTTGCAATCACTTTTATTTTTCGAAGGCCAAAGAAGCTATTGCAGAAAGAGACTAAAATATTCAAGAAATTCCCAATTACTTACAAAAGCATCAAAACGTGATCTACTACACTCCTTACACATCAAAAGGTACAAGTACAGCTGCAGCCGCACATTAAACCAGAAAACATATGGAAAGCTACTGCATTTCCAACATCCGTAAAAACAAAATGCACCAGGTTTTTAACAAAATGACAAGTTCTAAGAAGCACTAATAAGGGATCTTCTCATCTATCTGTGCTTGATAAAGCCCTCTATTCAAATTGTCCCAAGGAAGCAACCCAAAAGTAGCAACAACACTTGCTTCTACTTTAAGAATACGACATGCACTTAAAAGTTCTTAATTGGTGCACAAGTTTGTGGCCTCATAAGGAGGTTTTGGGAGTTCTAAATATAATTATCTTTATCATTGAGATGTAAGTAGACTAATTTGTCTATCAGAACAGTATTCTCATTACTAACTAATATGATACAGCATAAGTATCAACCCCAATCTTGACGCCTACAAGGTTTAGGAAGCATTAAAAACAATCATTCTAATGATCCTGAAATGTAAATCGACAACCTTTGTACCAAAAACATTAATCTCCCCTAAATCCGAGGATAAAACCAAATTTATGGTGCAAAAAGACATTCTCTTTGACTTCAATCTAGGCGCCATTAGGCAGGTAGAAAACATTTTTTCGACATTTTCCCCCAAAAAACTATCTTCAGCATTTTAAATTGAAGCATAAAATACATATAACAAGTGATAAATTTTCTTGACATTCATAACAAATAGCTAGCAAATCAAACCCAAAAAAGAATAAAAAACAAAAAACCAAACTTTCCCATGGTAAGCACTTCCAAAAAAAAAAAAAAGAAGATAGAAACATAATACCATTTTAAGCTAAAACGAAAGGATTCATCCCGCAATTTTGTCTAACAAACCTGAATTTCCTCAAAGTTTTCTCTAAAGATTAATTAAATATCAATTAAGCAAAGATGAGGAATGAAACACTACGAAAAGGGAAAGAGAAGATAGAAATGAGAAAAGGGAAATGAAAACTTACCATGGCTGGGGAGGATTCAAAATCGGAGGAAATAACAATGGCTGATTATTCCAACAGAAAAGAAAGGTTGCGATCTGATTGGCTCAAAAGGAATTAGGATTTGGAGGGAAAATTTAGGGTTTTTGTAGAAGCAGATGAATAGGGAGGAGGAGCTTTGGGGGTAGGACGGCCAGTTACGTTTGCCAGCCAATGCTTCGAGCTTGTTTGGAGCTGCTTTAAAAATGCCGGATTATGTTGCTTTAGCCTCCCCTATTCTTTACTTAAATTAAAGTTGGAGACCCTCTAATTTGCAAAATTATCTTTAGACGGCTTGTTGAGAGTGGCAATAATTAGATTTTATGAGTCGGGTTTTAATAAATTCACAACAGCTCAAAAAAAAAAAAGAGTAAAAGATTTTGCAGTGTATAAATTTTTGAATATTTTGAAGAGTATAGTTTAAAAATTTTGAAAAATTTTTTGAGATTACTGTAGTTAAAGTTATTAAAAAATTTGTAACAAACAAATTTGACCAAATACTTGCTTGCCAAACAAGAGCAAAGTTGTGCGGCAATACTCACAAGTATTTTTCTTTTTTTTTTTTTTTTTTAAAATAAGTCTATTGCCGCACCAAAGTGGTGTGGCAACAAACACCTAATTTAAAAAAAATTACCATTTCGGTCCTCGATTGTTGGACTGAAATGCAAATAATTTTGCAAAGATGGCCGCACAAGCTTTGTATATGGAGAACATAGGGAAAAATCCCTCACTCAAGGGTGATTTTATTTTTTTATCATTATCTAAAGAAATTTGCCGATTTACTTCTATTATCAGGCTTTTTGTTTGGATTACCCTTTCACTAGAATTTTTTTGCCTCGTGTTTTCTTTCGCCATATGGATACAAATGTCATTTTAGTTGCGATGACAGAGTTAAAATTGACCGCTTTGAGAGTGGTACTGGTAGGGAAACGCTTTGCGTACTTTTCTTTCCAACTTACATGGGGCAGCAGATGCTGTAGTTCATCTTGCGAGCAAGGGGATCACTTTGAGAGAGGAAAAAAATTAATGAAATTGAAGGCGGGTTATTTTGGAAGTTAGGTGATCCCTTTCTTCGTAGTATACATGACAAAAAGGTTTAATACTTAATAATCTATAGAAACGTATGAAGAGGAGCTTTTAAACATATTTGTTATTAATATTTGACTTTAAATTATTGTTTTAAGCTCTTCTTGTAGCTACCAAAAAGTCATTGGTTCAGACAAAAGACGTGCTTGATATAACTCGTTAAATGCTTCAAAGATTGGAGGCAAATTTCGGGGTTCGTAAATTCATGAAACTAGCAGAAATATACCGTGCTTGCGCACGGTAAAGAATTAATGTAATGCCCAGGAGGAGCGTTACAGAGCATGAATTTAATAAAGTACTGTAATTTGTATTTGTAGTATGTTGAGTAAAAATTAGGTGGTGTAGGGGAGATAATTAAAAAGATGGAAAAAAGGATACACTAACCATTAATTCAAATGACACAGCCATCTAAATCAAGAATCCAAAGGCTAGCAGAAATTTATTTGTTGCCATCTTACGTGGGATTTGGTGAGCAGCGGAATGCAATTATAAATTAAGGAAATGGAGAACCTGGCATTAGTTAAAAAGGGGATAATTAAAGTAGAATATAATAAACTTAAATATTTGTCCCACTGTCAGTGCAACAAGTTTATAAAAAATTGTAGCCATTTAAAGTGAAGAGATAACTCCATGCAGGCAAAATAATTTCCTGTATTTGATAGAATTAAAGAACATTAATTTGGCTGCAATTCCCTGAATGGTTGGAATAAATCTGCGTACTGCAAAGGTAAATTCCCTATGGAAAAAATAAAAGACAATAGAAGCTGGCATTCACATGCTTAGTGAACATATAAGAAGGACAAGGTTTCTCCTGGAATAAACGTAAAAGAAGTTGGCTAAGTTTTACTGGTTGGTGCATCAGAGAAGATGCAGAACTTATTGTACCAGGGGAACAACTTTTCGACTCCACGCTTGTCGAAGATGAGGACAGTATAGCAGGACTTTGTTTCAGGGATAAATACTAAAGCGTCGCCAAATTGTAGCTGATGCTCAAAAGCAAATGTGTTCCAATTTGTTGCAAACCGTCTCCGACGCATTCCAACAGTGATTGTCTTGTTTCCAGTTCGTAGGGTGACCAGAGGAGTTCTGTCACCGTGTATGAAGAAGGATACAAATTTGGGCACTTTCTGTTGTTCACCAAAAGGAAAAAGTTATTAGTGGGAAAGAAAGCAGCGAATGAAAAAATAAAACAAGAGATAACTGAAGCTTACAAAATTATGTTGGTTTTCCTGAGTGAAGATCTCATAGAATGATAGACCATCAGCGATGTCTTGAACGAAATCTGGTTTCATTGCTGATGCTACTCTCTGACAATGCATTCTTTGTTCTGTGTTTCATAAAAAAGGTAAGCGTACAAAGCTAGCAAATTAAACAAGGACAATGCTAAAAATTTGGAAGTGTTTAAGCATGAGAAAACTAACTTTTTGCGATAACATGTTCTGGAGCATCCAACAAACTAGGTAGTGGATGACTCCAAGGTAAGTAGCCATGCGTTTTTGTTGCTGAGTAATGGAGGACGTCGAACACCAAGTTTCCGGAATGTCGAAGGAACATTGTGTCGTCTTCATGGATGATATTATTCTCGCAGAAGTCTTGCCAACCTTCTCCAAACCAAGTTTCTAAAATGCTGATAGTCCATGTTCTATAGCCTTCTCGAATAGTTATTGTACGCTGTTGATGGTTTCTTAGAAGCAGCAGAAATTGAGCAGGGAATATCTAATTATTTTGAAAAACTTTGGTTATCGTTAAAGAAGGCACATGTCATGAGGAAAAAAACTATACAGAATCAAAAGTACCTGCTTAGAACCGCTACTCCTAAAGAAGAAGCAGCATTCCATGCTGCCGGTAATATTTGGCGGAAGACTGGAGGATTCAACGCTTTCAGAGAACTCCATACTTGGTTGTTATAAGTGTAATTAGCTTTTGAGGCTGAATATTTTAGAAGGTTGTTCTTGGCAAATATATATATAGGGCCTTCATAACATGAACAGATAGCATTAATTGGCCTGTAAGAGTATCTGGTAACCAGTGAATTTATTTAAAGTGGCTGAACTAATAGCTGTAGGATCAGTAATGGATGCAGAAAAGGCAGTCTTGGAAAGATGCAGCGTGGTTTGATGTTTGAAGGCAACAGTTAAGTCATCACACATTGTTCCAGAAGGAATGAATTGGAAAGGTAAAAGCTTTGATAAATGCACTGGAGAGTGGAACGTTCTTTGCTGCTGGCAGTCAATGCTAATTCCAAACAAAATGAATGGTACAGGATGATTATAGCGATTATTGTACTTGATGTGGTAACATTATAGATTATGGCGTTTTCAAATTAAGTTGCAAAAGGCATGCAAATTAACAGGCAAAACGTAAGAGTGTGTAGAAATACAAAGTTCAGAATCATGAAAATCCCTGAGCATTTGCAAGGCATATCAGTAGCATGATAGTGGTCTTAAAAATGTTGAGACTTGGTGTCCTTCACCACACAAAAAGGCACCTAGGAGCCAACGCAGGAAAAAAGATAGTTTGCTTGGAAAGGAAACAATTCTAAGCTTGTCTAGCTTTTTTCTTGGGGCTGGTCTGAAGAGCTTCAGAGCTTAATTGCCTCTGCTCATCTGACTCGTCAAATTTTTGAAGAAGACAAACTTTAGCTTTTGAAGAAGACGTTCCGCCTGCTGAAAAGTAGTAACCATACCTGATTCAGTAAGATGCCTCTTCTATAGAAAAACAAATAGGTCTATTCATGCACATGTGAAACAAAGATGATTAAGTAAAGGCTATAACTTGATGAAGGACAAGTAAAGGCCTGTTCACTGGAGCCTGTAACAGAAACTTGTTCATCAGAAGCTTCCTTGCAGTATACCATTGTGAAACGTTGTTTTGCATCAGCCAAGGGAACCTGTACAGGTCTAATGTACGCAAGGAATTTCTTGGATTTTAGGTCTTCATGCAGAACCTCAAGTGGTAACACCATATTCTGCAGTGGACAAAACAAAAGAATTTATATACATATACATAAATACACATACATATGTGCTGACGCGGCATGGTAAGAGTAAACCTGAAAATAATGCTCCATTGCTTCTTTTGCTGTGAACGTTAGCAGTTTCTCAGCTAAATCGCCAAACATTGTGGCTGTGACTGTTCCGGTGTCATCAGAGAGGTCAACATCAAATTTACACCTATTAAATATGCAAGTTTTATATAAGGCACAACAGAGGAAAAGAAATGATAATGTAATGAGCAGTAGCAGAAGAAATGATAAGAAACAAATAAAGTAATGATGGTCAGACCTTGGTTCAGACTTGTGCTTTTGTTTACAAGTATTACACATGAACAAGACACCATAGTCAGCAGACGTGGAGCGGAAGCAATTTTCACACCCCATGTACCAAAATTTTTGAAAAATGTGATCAAATGAGAATGATGCTTTCACCCACACATTCTGAGAATAAAGCTAGTATATGAATTAGTCAAACTATTTGAAGGCTGAAATCCACTGATAATGCTGCAATCAAGACAGTACCTTGTGTTTTGAGCTGATATTTGATATATCAGTAATTTTTTGATCTGCTTGGAAAGAGAGATCAGGATTGTATCGACTGTATGTTCTCTTTGCAACAATGTCTGCAAGGCATTTGGCATTTCTACTTGCCCTGTGTATAGGTTATTAAAATGGTAAGGCAAGCAGGGAAAAGAGCATTTTTTTATTGCGTACTCGAGGTTGAAAAATAAAAGAGTGGCACCAGCTCGTAAGTATCTCTGATTGTCAAGAAACAGATAATGTATATAAAGTCCATAAGCAACAAATACTGAAAACTATAAGAGCAGAACCAGTTCTTGAGTTCCCTTGCTTCTTGGACAGGTGGATTCACAAGAATTGCTGAATCAAACCAAGTAGAAAGAGCCACTCCTTAAAAAAAGAAAAGGGGAAGCAACATGTGATTTGAAAAAATGAACAGATGGAAAAGGTTAGATGGCAAAACATGTAACCGGCAACTGTTATACTCACCATTATAATTTTGAACCTTTAGCCTTCTTCCAATAAGAACAGGATAATTCTGAATTTCCGAAATAATCTTGGAGCCTTCATTGTCAATAAAAGCATTCCACATAGACAGCATAAGTGTCTGCAATCTGACATATTTGAAACAGAAAAACTATTAATTTTTTTGTTTGGAAAAGGCTGCAATTTGCAACACCAGATAGTCATTGTATACAAAAGCAAAGATTCCTTACTCTTCATTAACAAGAACTAGTTTTTGGACTCGTGCTTCCTTTGAATTTACGGTGACAGTTTTTTCATCCAAAGCAGCAATAACAATTCCCATAATATCTAGTGAGAGGAATTCAAAAAATAAGACTTAAAGCATATAATAACCAAGGTACATCAGTATGGTTAAAAAGAAAGCTACTGACCAACAGAAATGTCCTTGCGGTCCATGTACTGTGCCAAGTCCGTAAAGTTGGTATACGTAAACTTTGCAGCCATAACATCCTCATTGTCTACAATCTCTTCAATAATTGTTCGACTGGTGATTATCCATTGGACTGCTAGCTCAGTGGTTCTAAAGTTTTCAGGGATTCTTTTGACCTGAGCATTGGAGATGAGGTATTTTTTGTAAACCTCTATTCTAGGGCTCATTATAGCAATATCAGCATTAAATATGATGCCTTCAACCTTTGATCCCTGGAAAAGAAATATTATGATGGTCGACAAATGAGCAGCGTTTAAAGTCCTAAGTTTATCACATAAGATTTTGAGAATAGAAGGTCAAGTGCACTGAATACCTCAGAATCAATGAAGATAAACTTCTGTTTCCTAGTTGGTGTGCTAAGTGATGAGGTAACTTGCTGTTTCTCCTGGACAGTGACCTTTGCTGTCCATTTCTCCATACCGACCTCAACATCATTGATAGATAATATAGTGCACATCCTGCACTCGTTAGCAATAATAAGAGTAAATAAGCAAGGGATTTCAGTTTGGAAGGTAAAATCAAAGTATAAGTTCTGAAAACAAAAGCTAAAAACATTTAAATGTGCAAGCTACCTACGAACAGTGCAAGTGATCAATTAGACAACTGCAATATTTCATCAAACACAATATTTCTTGTTTTGCAGTCAGTTTTGATTTCAGCAAAAGTTCCTGGAAGTATGAGGACTTTAACTGCATCAGCAGTCTTTGCTCTGGACAAGGCAACGTATAGTTGGCCATGAGAAAATACGGGCTCCTTTAGATATACACCAACATAGTCAAGAGTTTGGCCTTGAGCCTTGTTAATTGTCATTGCAAAACAAAGGCGAACTGGAAATTGTCTTCTGATGAATGGAATCCCATTTTTTTCATTATCAGGTGTCTGCAATGGGATTCTGGGAATGAAAATCTTTTTCCCTTTATACTGACCAAAAGCTATCTCAGCACAGATAGTGTGCCGTCTTAGCTGCCGACAAATAAGTCTTGTGCCATTGCACAATCCTTCAGCTGGATTTAGATTTCTGAGCAAGATTAAGGGACAGCTTTCTTTTAGCATGAGCTTGTGTGGAGGAAGACCCTTTGGATTTTGAGAATTCAAAAAGTCCTCATAATCTGCCTGGAATCTCTGATCAACAGTTTGGTCAGAGCTTGTATAAGTAAAAAGCTGTCCAGGAAACCTCTGAATCATCATTTCATTGATGTCTTCAACAGAGGTGTTTTTTGGGGTTAAAATACATCTACTGATCATCTCATACGGATTAGATGAGTAGAGATTCAAATCTGGAAACGTGTAAGCTATCAGCCTGGGCGAAATTTTTTTTTGTTAGAAATCTGTGAAAGATAAACGAAGTAATACAGATGAAAAAGGACAGGAATGTGCGATGAAGCACAGGAAATGGAGAGGACCTGTCTAAAGAATCTTTTATATTGTGGAATGGTATAACCATATGACCTGGTAAGCAAATCTGGTTATCTGCATCAACAGGTTCTGCACCTTCCCCAACAGCGAGCAAGAATCGCGAAAAGGCAGGATCTAAGACAGCCCTCATGTTGTGTTTTAGCTTTATTTTGTGCATACAAGACCATAATGAAGAATGCAGGAGGCTAGCCTGAATTAGCTGGTCCTTGGTAGCTCCTTGAATAACGGGGAGAGTTTGGCGAAAATCGCCCCCAAAAACTACAACTTTACCTCCAAAAGGATCGCTAGTCTCCATTAGATCTTTCAACAATTCGTCAAATGCTTGAATAGTGTCTCTTTTTGCCATTGATGCTTCATCCCACAAGAATAACTTACATTCAATGATTAACTGTGCCATGCTGCTCTGCTTGCTCAACTGACACGTTTTATTTCTGGAAAAGTCCAACGGAATTTTAAATCTGGAGTGAGCAGTCTTTCCTCCAGGAAGAAGTGATGCTGCAACTCCTGAAGTTGCTACAGCTATCGCAATATATCCCTGCGATCTAAGTGTCGCAAGAAGAGAGCGATACAAAAACGTTTTTCCGGTCCCCCCTGGACCATCAATGAAAAAACTCTGGCCTTTGGACGAAAAAACAGACTGCAATATCAAATCATAAGCATGTTTTTGCTCTGCATTTAACTTAGAAGTTATCAAGAGATCTTCCGACGACACCACAATATTCATTTCACTGTCTACTTCCTTGGTCATGCTTTCATGACAGCTGAGAGTAATAGAATCTGTAACCAACTTATACTCACTGATATGCCTCCCCATATGCTGGAGCGATTTGTTAATATCAAACAGAACTTTCCGCCTTACTTCAGCAGCTGAACAATGAGTCTGTACCTGCGCTCGTGCGAAGTCTCTAGAAAGCTCCATTTCAAATTTTTCCCACAAAAGACTTGGATTTGTTGGAGCACAATGCAAAAGCAAAGTAGCAAATAAAAATCTAAGCGAAGAAGGCATCTGAAAACCAGCAGCTTCTTCAAGTGTTGCCTCAATATAGGAATCAGATTCTAAGAGGCCAAGCTCTAAAGCAGCCTCTCTAAACGAATTCATTTTACATCCATTAACTGTCAACAAGTCATCAAAGGATGTAGGAGCGCGAACATGTGAGAGAAGAAGTCTTAAATAATACCTATCCCCTTCGCTTGGTTTGACAGTGACTAACCTGCCAATAACCTTATGCTTACTTCTTTCTGTCCACTTTCTCGTAGCAGGTGTCCACACAAAGTGCTGAGCAAAATCTCTATACAAACATCTGAGGCTCTGAGCTTTTTTGTTTACACGGTTCATTCTAAAGAACTCAGTTAACATAGTTCTGGAGAAGTCAATTTTCTCTAAGAGTTGTGAAAGATCAGAATCTTGATTGAAGGAAACATATTGGTGACCAGGAAGATGAACCTGAAGACTGTAAACAGCAGGGGTCATTTCATTCAAGCGAAATGCATAAATCCGCCACAAAGCTTCTGGAGGAGAAACCCAACGACCTCGCTGAAATTCCTTGATCTCATCGATATCCTGAGGTGTTTCATCAGCTATGATGTGGAAGTTGACAAGGTCATGGCCTTTAAATATGTATTTGTATAAATACTTGACTAATTTGATGGTTGAACAGATTTCAACATTGATGTGACAATCAATCAGAGCTAGCAAGTACGGAGTATACGGGATGACCCACCTATTATCCAAATCATAGCCTTTGACTCGGATTTTCTTGCCATCGTCTCGCCTACGATAATTCGGATAGCTATCCTCGCCGTGAGTCGTATGTTCAGAATACCCTTTTGGATAGTGACTTTTGCAAACACCGTTTTTCATACAAGGGCTGTTTTTGTTCATTTTTCCACAAGGGCCGTGAATCATGTGCCTTACAACTAGAGAATAAAGATGAGGATGTTCTTGACGATCAGGCAGTTCAGCAGAAACAATTTTATCATAGGCCTCTGGATTAAGAGGTTTAAACTGCGGTTTCAATATAAGCAGTAGGTGAGCATGAGGGAAGCCTCTTTTTTGGAATTCAATAACATAAACATATGCTGCAACGTCTCCAAATAATTTCTTTGTAACCAACTCTGTTTTCAGGATTTCAAACTTTGCCCTGAACACTCTAGCTAAAAGATCAGGCCTGTCCTGAGGTTTCTCTTTGTACTTTAAATGTGCCTTAATTTCTGGCCACAGGGGATTGCATGTCATGGTCAAGAAAATGTCAGGTTTTCCATATTTCTGGACCAGAGCCATTGCATCAAGATATCTACGCCTCATATCCCGCGGGCCTCCGAGAAAAGTAGCTGGTAAATATATTCGCCGGCCAACTTTAGAACCTAACGTTTGGCCTAAAGAGACACTATCCATTATTCCTTGAAGAGCTTCAGTCCGTATGGTATTCTGTTTTTTCCGGTGGAATTCAAGCCTAGATGTCTCTATCTTAACGTAGATATCAACAACATACTGCTGCAACAATCTCAGCGCATGTAACAACATGGACTCATCATCATGTCTCATTTGAAACCTATAACATTAGTATTCCCTAGCAGTGACGTTAGTTTTCTGTTTCTTGCCACGATCAGCGGCTGAAACAAAATGGAACTACGTATTAACAACATGGAGAAATAGACAATATGTTTGAAAAATATGACCATGCCTCTAAGAAACTAAGTTTATACTTGCCTCTTTGTTCCAGATTAATCAAATCAGATGGACTACCGATAGATGCTGGATCAATAGCAATATCAGCTTCACAAACAGGACGGGATCTTTTCCTATTTTCGCACGTAATCCTTTGGATTCCATGGTGCCATCCAGACTCACCACGAGGAAATAATAAATGATACTGTAAAGAGTCATAGCAAGCATAGTAATGCTTAATCATATGACTCTGATCGGAGTGACTATAAACCTGAATATGAACTGACTTATCAACTGATTCATCATCAGTCTCGGTCCATATAGCGGCTACTTGAGAAGCGGATGGAAGATTATACAAACGCTGATCAAGAGCAGGATTGCAATTAAGAACAATTCTATGGCGCTCGAGATCAGGAACATGACGCAAATCTTTAAAAAATTTGGCATAGGGATTGGCAGCTAAAATGCGCATAAGCAATTTAAGAGTGTCTGCGCGGAGCCGAGAGGAAGCATCAAGTCTCCTGGCAAGCTCCTCATCGGTATCAAAAAAGTATAACTGAATACCCGATGGTTTATGACGATGTGATACCAAACCATCGAGGAAGTGATAAACCTGGCCTTGTACACGAAACGTATAAACACCATGCTTATTCTTCGTCAATTCTGGATCATACTTTGCAGCAAAAGTAGTGAAAGAAACA